GGGCGGTGTGTGGCTGCCAGGCCGGGCCGGGCCGGTGAGCAGTGCTTTCTGGTCCCTGCTCCCCTCCGGCTGTGGGTGCTGTGGTGTGCGGGGTGGAGGGAGAGGTGCGGAGCGGGGTGACAGAGCAGCTTTGTGCTTCCTTCGGGGTACGGGGCCGGGGGGGCGGATCGCGTCGGGACCGCTGGAGGCAGAGGTTGCCTTCCATCCTGGCTGCAGGATCACGTCTCTTCAGGGAGCTCTGTGCTCCGCTGATGCTCCTTTGTGCTCATCAGATTATGTGTATACCACACCTAGCTTATTAGAGCGCTTGTGTGGAGCGTGTTGCTGCAGCACTGTAACAGTGATAGAGCTGCTTTCCAGCTTTATGCAGACTTTCTCATAAAGGTGTCAGGGAAGTGTGTTTTTCCAGGGAGTTGTGAAGGAGATGGTCAGGCATTGGAACAGGCTGCCCAGGGAAAGTGGTGGAGTCGCCATCACTGGAGGTGTTCAAAAAACGTGTAGACGTGGCACTTCGGGACATGGTTTAGTGGGCATGGTGGTATTGGGTTGGTGGTTGGACTTGGTGATCTTAGAGATCTTTTCCAATCTTAATGATTTTGTGATTCTATGAGATGAGGCAGAGAAGAGGTGAGTGGATCTTGGAGCCAAGCTGTAAAAGTTTTGGCTTGGGAAGGAAGTGGGGGGATAGAGTACAGAGAGCGGAAGCAGAGGAGCTTACAGCTTTCAGGAGTTACTGAATTTATCCACTATCTCAGTCTCATGCTTGGTGAGATGAGCTTTGCAACTTGTATTATCCCTGTGTTTCTGCATACCGCGTTTTTTTGCTCCTTTCTTAGCGTACCTCTGATTTTCATCCAGCCCAAACCACCTTTTCCAAAATATATGACATGTCAGCAGTTTTCTGACAGTCCACTTCCTTCAGTCTCTTTGATGTTGAAGGCCCCTCTTTGATATAAAATAATTCGTAGATGAGAGAGAGATGGGCAGGTGAGAACGTAGTTAGGCATGCCATCCTCATGCTTAACATGGACTTTTTGGTGACGGGTAAATGATGGTGCTGCTTACGGGCTGAAATAAGTTACACATGTCTTATGTGGATGTAGATGAGTTGTAGGAACATTTTCCTTAGCGGAAAATGTAGGATTTTTCATGAACTCTGTTTTATGGATTGTCTGGTTGAAAGGCAAGGGGAGGGGTTGTCTGTCAAATAACTGCATGAATAAATACACTCATTTTTTTCCTGTTTTGGCTTTAGCAAACTGCTTGACCTCTCCATGCTCACTTCTCCCATGTCAGATTTATACAATAATGCAAAATGTGTTTTTATTTTCTTCAGCTTACCCCACACTCACCAGCCAGTGGGGCAGACATGCTAAGAGCCAAGGATGCTCTCCGGCGCCTGTGGCCCGAACACTGCACATGCCTGGCACAACTTCCAGCCTGCCGACTCACGTGGCGTTCGCTGCATGGGCAGCCGCTGCATCCCGAGTGGGCTGCCCTTGCTGAAAAGCAGCTGAAAGGCAAGAATCCAAAGGATTTAATTTGGCATACCCCAGAGGGGATCGACATCAAGCCCTTATACTCCAAAAGGGACACGAAAGATCTCCCTGAGGAGCTGCCAGGGGTGAAACCTTTCACTCGAGGACCTTACCCAACCATGTACACATACAGGCCGTGGACTATCCGTCAATATGCTGGCTTCAGTACAGTGGAGGAGAGCAATAAGTTCTACAAGGACAACATTAAAGGTAAGACAGCTGATCTGAGAAACAGCATTGCCTTGCAAAGCAATGGGGGACATTAATATGGTGAATTACATGGCAAATGGGATTACTCCGCCTTGTGAGTTTTGGTTTCTATATTTCTTTATTGCTGGGAAATTGGATCATTTCTGAAACTTCCTTTGCTTCATTTTGCTATTGAGATGGAAAAATGAATGTGCTAAATGCTATTTTTAGTTATTCTGCCTTAACACTTAGAGAGATATAATTTGGCTGCATCCCAGGTTCCAATCAGCAGAGATTATGGAGCACTTTACACTCATTTTGTGACCAGAAGAGAACATTGTAGTGGAAAAAAAAGTTGAACTTTGTCACTTACCTAAAATTCTGGTGTTAGTGCATTCTGACATTTTGGGTTTCCATCTCATATTATAAATTTTAAATGAACTTATAAATACATATAAATTCACGGTGTATTAGTAAAGCTAGCTTCCTAAAAGTGCTGGTATTTTCCTTATTTGAGAGTGGTTTTCCCAATATTTCTGTGGAGTATGGTGCTTTGCAGCAATTTGTTTAGCTAATAGCTAGAGCATCATCATAATATACAATTTAGGCACTGTGAAACTACTACTAGAAAGTTGTTCTTGACAGACTGAAGCATTAGTTTTCCACGAGCCATACATCTTAGCAATTGTTTGAAACTAATTATAGTCTTACCAGTCAAAACAACAGACCACTGAAAGTTGCCTTCTGAGTAATACATCTGTGACACTTTTATTTCAGTCCTCCTTCCTACTCAAAACTTAACTGTTTAGGACAGGGGAGAAGAGTTGTTTGGGGTTTTTTACCTCTTGGAATATTGTGGTTGGAAGTAATATTAGCTGCTGCAGTATCCTTGCAAGTATTCGTCATTCTTTCCATTTATAAAACTCAGTAAATTAAGAAATTATAAATACAGGGTATTAGAGTTTTGCAAACAAACATTTCAATAGAAAGATTGTTCTGAATATGCTCTGTCTTACTGCTGAACTTTGCTGCTGAAGCAGAAGTGCTAACACTTGGGTTAGCTGGTAGCACTGCTCAGTTACTCGAGAATATTTGCTGCCAGGAATTTTTCGCCGTTATTCAAGTTTTGACATTGTGATATTGTAATTCCATCTTGTTGTGGTAATGGTTGTATTAATATTGGATTATTTAGCATAGATTCTGAATCTGACCTAATTATTTGTAAAGCATTTTTAATAATTCACTTAAAATCCCAATGTAAGTAAAGGCTTTCTGTAAGACCTTTGACATGATCCCTCACAACGTCCTTCTCTCTAAATTGGAGAGATATGGATTTGATGGGTGGATGAGGAATAGGTTGGATGGTCACATCCAGAGGGTAGTGGTCAACGGCTCAATGTCCAGATGGAGATCGGTGACGAGCAGTGTCCCTCAGGCATCTGTATTGGGACCAGTACCCTTTACTAGCTTCATGAATCACATCATGGAATTGAGTGCACTCTCAGCAAGTTTGCAGATGACACCAAGCTGAGTGGTGTGGCTGACATGCCTGAGGGACGGGATGCCATCCAGAGGGAGCTGGACAAGCTCGAAGAATGGGCCCATGTGAACCTCCTGAGGTTCAACAAGGCCAAGTGCAGGGTCCTGCCCCTGGGTTGGGGCAACCCCCACTATCAGCACAGGCTGGGGGATGAAGGGATGGAGAGCAGCCCTGCTGAGAAGGACTTAGGGGTACGGGAGGGTGAAAAGCTGGACGCGAGCCAGCAATGTGCACTCGAAGCCTGGAAGGGCAACTGTACCCCAGGCTGCCCCTAAAGCCGCGTGGCCAGCAGGGCAAGGGAGGGGATTCTGCCCCTCTGCCCCGCTCTGGGGAGACCCCCCTGCAGTGCTGCGTCCAGCTCTGGAGCCCTCGGCACAGGAGAGACATGGACCTGCTGGAGCGGGGCCAGAGGAGGCCCCAGCAACGCTCCGAGGGCTGGAACAGCTCTGCTGGGAGGACAGGCTGGGAGAGTTGGGGTTGTTCAGCCCGGAGAAGAGAAGGCTCTGGGGAGACCTTACTGCAGCCTTTCAGGGCTTAAAGGGGGCTTCTAAGAAAGATGGGGACAGGCATTTTAGCAGGTCCTGTTGCGATAGGACAAGGGGTAAATGTTTTAAACTGAAAGAGGGTAGATTTAGACTAGATAGAAGGAAGACGTTTTTCAGAATGAGAGTGGTGAAACCCTAGCCCAGGTTGCCCAGAGAGGTGGTCGATGCCCCATTCCTGGAAACATTCGAGGTCAGGTTGGACAGGGCTCTGAGGAACCTGATCTAGTTGAAGATGTCCCTGCTTACTGGAGGGGGGGTGGACTAGATGACTTTTCAAGGTCCTTTCCAACCCAAACTATTCTATGATTCTGTTCTATGATTCTATGAATGCTGAAAGAGAATTATCAGTTCTCATAATTGCTGAAATTTCTATTGCTTGAAACTAGGCAGAAATCTAATTTTTTTTCTTGTGCTTCAGAGCTAACACCGAGCTTTTGAGGTCAAAGACATCTGACAATTAAGAGCTCTGCTGATGATGAGGGGCAGATTTGCAAATGCAGTAGGTGTAGTTATTTCAGGAACAGCAGTGCTGGTTAGAAGGTGAATGCCTGGGCTTAGCAGAGTTTTAGGTACTGCTTTCAGGTTGCAGCAACAAGTATGTCAAGAGCTCTAACTGTCTTCTTCCTTGCTTTACACGAGTAATTTTATCTTACTGCAGATTTAGTAATGCATCACTTCACTTTAGGAATAAACATGCATATGTTTAACTTGTGATAAAGAGAAGGTAACGTGATGTAGTTTATCACCCTTTTGTTTCCAGCTAAGCTAAGTAGAATTTCTGTGTATAAGCCTTGATACTGTCTGTCTACACACATTTATAATGTAGCTGAACTGTTATTCAGTAATTTTTTAAGCACAGTAAGCTGATAGTGTGGCTGAGCTAAAAGGATTACAGTTGGGTTTTTTTCTCAATTAAAAGCTTTTTAATTTAAAGTTTAAGACTAGAAGACTTTGGACATGTTTGGGGAAGGAATAGTGTTTAACATCAAAAATTGGTTTGTTGTCCAAGCCTGGATCATGTAAAATAAAATTAATAAATTTAGACCCAGTTCTAATCCGTCTGTTCAACAGTTCTGAATATCTCTCTCTGTTGTTTTTTTTTGTTGTTTGTTTATTTTTTCATTTAGCTGGCCAGCAGGGATTATCTGTTGCTTTTGATTTAGCCACCCACCGTGGTTATGATTCAGACAATCCACGCGTTCGAGGAGATGTTGGAATGGCTGGAGTTGCCATTGATACAGTGGAAGACACCAAAATCCTTTTTGATGGAATTCCTTTAGAGAAAATGTCGGTTTCTATGACAATGAACGGGGCAGTCATTCCTGTGTTGGCAACATTTATTGTAACTGGAGAAGAACAGGGAGTGCCTCAGGCCAAGCTGACAGGGACAATCCAAAATGACATCTTGAAGGAGTTCATGGTCCGAAATACGTACATTTTCCCCCCAGAGCCATCCATGCGGATTATTGCTGACATCTTCCAGTACACCTCAAAGGTATTCATTGTTTAAATGTATTTACTTCTGTTATTGCATCTAGTTAACTATTTATGAGACACTTTGGAGAACAAAGCAGAAGACAGGAAGATCTGTCATAGTGAGGAATGATGTGGTTATGGAAAGGGCCGTGAGGAGAAGTTAAGATCCCAAATCACTTACCACATAAATTCTAAGATTTTTTAGGTCAGTCCAAATCAAAGTCAGATTAAGATGAGCCTAAGCCTGAAAGGATGACAAGAGGCTTGGAGACAAGGAACAAACAGGCTGCCCTTTGCATAGAAAGTAAGAAGCACTATAGTTAAGAAGCATTATACAGCTGTAAGCAGGAGCAAAGAGGTAAGAAATCTTGAAGGACTACTGCTGCAAAATTAAACGTAAGAAGGAGGTAATGAAAGGAGTGAAATCACAGAATCACTAAGATTGGAAAGGAC